AGGACTTTTTTATTTTCTGCTCTGCATATCGTATTGAGCACTTTATGTTTTATCTTATTTACTCGATTGTTCTTTTTTTCTTTGGACTGTAAATTAAGGAACAGGACGATTTTTCACCCTACTCATATGTTTCTCTTTTTTTCCCCCCCATTTTTTTCCCCAGATACCAATTTCTTTCGATAAATAATTTATATTTGCGAATTGCGTCATCCGGGCTTTTTCTGTAGTATAGTTATAATATATATATATATATATATATATATATATATATATATAGATATATATATATAGATATGTGAAAATATATATATATAATAGGAAAGAACTCGTTAGGTAAATAATCCAAAAGTTCTTTAGTATTTTTGTTATTATTTTAAAAATAATGCCTGATACAAAAAGTAGAGCATAAATATAATTTTTATTTAAGAATATGATTCCAACATGCTACATTTAGAGTTCTCATGTTTCAAAACAAGAGCCGAAAAACTTCAATATAATTATTTGAATTAAATTGAATTAAAGTACTAAGCTCTGTTCCATCTTCATGCGAAATTTTTTTTGGAATAACTTATCTCTGAAATTTCATTTTAATTCAAATAATTATATTGAAATTTTTGGCTCTTTTTTGAAACATGAAACTCTTATGTAGCGTATTTAAAATCATATTTTAAATATATATATATATATATATATATATATATATATAATATTTATTTAAAAATTATAACATAAGTATATTATAATATCACTACAAATATAGTCATTTGTTTCAACACTTCTGCGTCTTGTCAAGTGATGATATTGCTAGTAAAATAAAAAAGTTTTTAAAAAATTTTTACAATTTATTAACGCTTTAAAATAAGTATTAGATTTTATAGGAAATCAGTATAAACGATTAGTCTCCAATATTTTGTAATTAAAAAAAATAAAAGTTACTATTCAAAGAAAAAAAAGGAGAAAATATGTCTAAACTTTCATGCATTGTTCTTAGAAATAGGTTAAATTTTTCGTCCGAATCTGAGCGGTAGTAGTGATTTTCTAAGCACAGCTGAGATGTGGCACAAGGCCGAAAGTATGGGGCACCCAGTGAGGATCGAACTCACTACTCAGCAGTGGTAAGAGGTGCAATATATGGCCACATAGTCAATTACATTGACAGGGTCGTGATGATAAGTTTAGTGGACAATGGAGAAAGGTTTATTTTTGCTTAGACATACATACATCACGTCTTAATAGACAAACACATAAATGTGATTGAATATATGAGCACGCAAATACACCAACGACAAACAGATTCATTAAGATTCAATCTTCCAACATAACTACAGAGACAACGCAAACTACCCGTCAAAATTGCACAAACATTAATAATCGAAAACATAAGGTAAAAAAATAATAATTATTTACAATATCATTTCATCTTTATATAAAATATTCTATCTAGCTAGAAAGCAAGTTAAAGTAATTTATACCTGCAGTTAACAGTGAGTTCTTTCCTTTGATTTAAAAGGTTTGGCTTGTTTGTAGATCTAATGATTTCTAGCTTTTCATTGAGACAAAGATAACATGGTGCATATAAAGAATTACAGGTACGAGCTCTTCTAATTAATTTCCATTTAACAGTGGGAATTTTGTTTTTCTCCTTTAAACATTAATAGTATTTGGACAGCGAGGTAGAATGTTTATAAGAACTATTTTTGAAGAAAAAAACATGCTGGCACCAACGGCGTTTAAGTAGATATTTAGTACCACCTATGTAGAATTTTTTAATATTCGGGTTTTCAAGTGAAGAAATGGTACTAAGATAAACCAGAGAACTAGCTTAGCAATTGTTTCGTAATGGACAATCATTGGGATTCCTACAGTTGCATCTATTAGTATTGGTGTTATGATATTTAGTATCGTTTAACGCATCACTACATTTCGCCATGCGCTTTGAGGTTTTATATCTGCTAAATACCTTATTATAATGCTTTTCATTATTTTTTTTCGAGGTTATCCGCACAATTGTAACTAAGTTTAAGAGTATTTTTATTGAAGATTTTACTAAGCTTATTCGTTTTAGGGAAGTGCTTATTAACAAGATTTATGAATTTTAGTCCTAAATTTGTTTTTTTTAAGCATGAGGTTAAAAGAACAAGTTGTATATATATATATATATATATATATATATATATATATATATATATATATATTCATGATTAGGCAGCAAGAATCTATTGAAACAAGTTTTATTCAAACGACTGACAAGTCAGTCGGTTTTCTCTGTTTATTATATTTTTCTAGTCTGTAGAGGAGGTGGAAGAAGAAGAAGAAGAAGAAGAAGAAGAAGAAGAAGAAGAAGAAGAAGAAGAAGAAGAAGAAGAGTATCCCTATTCTGCAGAGGAATATATGCAACTACTAGTATTACTACGACTAATACAAGTACTATTCATAATACTAGCAATAATAATGATGATGATGGCTCTAAATATCAATTGTTCTTATTGTATTTTATTTTATTTTTAATAAATATTCTTTGTGAAAGTAACATAAAAGTTTCACAAGTACGTGTATCCCGAAGCGGAATTCTCGCTTCACTGAGTGTTTTATGAAATACAAACGTTCAAGGACAGGGGAATGCAAATGTGCGGTATAGCTTTAGAAGGACACTTACACGCGAAAAGAAGAACAAATATATATATATATATATATATATATATATATATATATATATATATATATATATATATATATATATGTATGTATGTATGTATGTAGTTGAGAATAAAGGCGTGTGAATGATTTTGTGAAAGGCACTGAATAAATAAATGAAACTTTCTTCTTTTTGGGCCACGACCAATAAAGAGAGAAAAGAGAGTTATAAATAAATGAATGAAAGAATGAAGAAATGAAGAAGTAAATGAATAAAAGACAAGGGAAGTTTTTTTTTCCTTTAAAAGAAAGCAATATCACTATACTTTTTATATAAATATTAATGAATTATACACACCTATATTTTTTGCTATACTTCATATTTTGGGGGATTTTTCTACACTTATTTGTTGTTCGATTCTTTCTATCCTTTCCTTCTTTCTTTCTTTCTTTCTTTCTTATAACTATTTACAATATTACTTGCTTTTTCTTCTTTCTTTTTTCTTTCTTTCCTTATTTCTTTCTTTTTTTCTATCGTTCTTATAACGATATAAGATATTACATTTTTCTTCCTTGCTTGATTTCTTTCTTGTGACTATGAGATTACATTCTTTTTCTTTCTTTCCTTTTCATTTCTTTCTTTCTTTCTTTCTTTCTTTCTTTCTTTCTTTCTTTCTTTCTTTCTTTCTTGCATTCATATTGCATTCATTTCCTTTTCCTTTCTTTCTTTCCTTTTTATTTCTTTCTTTTTTATGACTACGATATTGCATTAATTTCCTTTTTTCTCTCTCTCTTTCTTTCTTTCTTTCTTTCTTTCTCATGAGGTTAATATTACATTCATTTCTTTCTTTTTTCTTTCTTTCTTTTTTACTTTCTTTCTTTCTTTCTTTCTTTCTTTCTTTCTTATGACTACGATATTATATTCATTTCCTTTTCACTTTCTTTTCCTTTACTTTCTTTCTTTTAAGTATTTACGATATTATATTCTTTTTCTTTCTTTTTCTTTCTTCCTTTCTTTCTTATGACTACGATATTACATTCATTTCCTTTTCACTTTCTTTCTTTCTTTCTTTCTTTCTTTCTTATAACTATGATATTACATTAATTTCTTTTTTTCTTTCTTTCTTTCTTTCTTTTTTTCTTATGACTACGATATTACATTCATTTCCTTTTCACTTTCTTTTTTCTTCCTATCTTTCTTTCTTTTTTTTTTATAACTATGATATTACATTCTGTTTTCTTTTTTTCTTTCTTTCTTTCTTTCTTTCTTTCTTTCTTTCTTTCTTATGACTACGATATTACATTCATTTCCTTTTCACTTTCTTTCTTTCTTCCTATCTTTCTTTTTTTCTTTCTTATAACTATGATATTACATTCATTTCTTCTTTCTTTCTTTCTTTCTTTCTTTCTTTCTTCTTATGACTGATGTACTTATTTCCTTTTCACTTTCTTTTCTTTCTTCCTATCTTTCTTTCTTATGACTACGATGTATTCATTTCTTCTTTCTTTCTTTCTTATGACTTTCATTTCCTTTTTTCCCTTTTCTTTCTTTCTTTCTTTCTTTCTTATGGATATTACATTCATTTCCTTTTCTTTCTTTCTTTCTTCTCTTTCTTTCTTACTAACTACGATATTACATTCATTTCCTTTTCATTTCTTTCTTTCTTCTATCTTTCTTTCTTATAACTACGATATTACATTTCATTTCCTTTTCATTTCCTTTTTATCTTTCTTTCTTTAACTACTTTTTTATTTCTTTTCTTTCTTTCTTTCTTCCTTCTTTCTTTCTATGACTACGATATTACATTCATTTCTTTTTTTCACTTTCTTTCTTTCTTTCTTTCTTTCTTTCTTTCTTTCTTTTCTTTCACCTGACTACGATATTGTTATCATTTTCTTTTTTCTTTCTTTTTCCTTCCTTCCTTCCTTTCCACTTACGATATCACATTCTTTTTCTTTCTTTCTTGGGAACAGATATTGAAAATTATTTTAATATGATTCTCTACATTTTTATACATAAGAACAAATATGTTGATGATAACATTTAATTTAATTCATGGGTTATTTTGTGTTTGTCTTTTTAAAAGTATTAAAAAGTGGGTTGAATTTTTGGTTTAGCTTACCATTCAAAAAAACATAAAATATAAGCAAAACTGTAGAGCTGTACTATGAAAATCAGAACGAGACGAGATTTTCCTAGGCAGAGAAACGAGAACCTCCTTAGATTAAATAAAAGATTCATTGATGTGATAATTGATGGTGAATGTGAATAACATTAACAAGGCAAAACATTTGAAGCTGTGTACGTATTGACAGAATAAAGACGCTTCTATTAATTCTCTTCTTTTTCTCCATGTAATAATTAGTTTTAATTTTCTATCTATCTATCTATCTATCTATCTATCTATCTATCTATCTATCTATCTATCATTTTCCTCTTTTCATCCTATCTATCTATATCTATCTATCTATCTATCTATCTATTCTATCTATCTAATTTCAATCTATCTAATTTCATCTCTTCATCTATCTATTTCCATTCATCTCATTTTATCTCATACTATCTATCTATCTATCTATCTATCTATCTATCTATCTATCTATCTATCAAATTTCAATATATGTTCACAAATTTCACCTCTTCAATCTATCTATCTATCTATCTGTCTATCTATCTATCTATCTATCTATCTAATTTCTCTCTCTTCTCTATCTATAATTTTACATTTCAGTATCTATCTATCTATCTATCAAATTTCAATTTTCGACAAATTTCACTCTGTCTGTCACAAATATGGCGACAAAGATGGGACTATCTATGTAAATATTGTAAATTTCACTCTCTTCATCTATCTATCTATCTATCTATTATCTATCTATCTATCTATCTATTTTTCAATATATTTCTTTCATCTCTTCATCTATCTATCTAATCTCTATCTATCTATCAATCTATCTATCTATCATCTATCTAATTTCGCATCTCTTCATCTATCTATTTCAATCTATCCATTTTACTCTCTGGGCTATCTTTTTCTATCTATATATCTATCTATCTATCTATCAAATTTCATATCATCTGTCTGTCTAAAATATGGCGATTCAATGGTCAAATAATTTACACTTTCACTCTCTTCAATTCTATCATCTATCTATCTATCTATCTATCTATCAAATTTTAATATGTTCGACAAATTTCTTCTTCATCTATCTATCTATCTTCTATCTATCTATCTATCTTCGATCTATCTATCTAATTTCAATTCATCTATCTAGTTTCAATCTATCTATCTCATTTTACTCTCTACGACTATCTTTCTATCTATATATCTATCTATCTATCTATCAAATTTCAATATGTTCGACAAATTTCACTCTGTCTGTCACAAATATGGCGACAAAGATGAGGACAATAGTCCGACTAATGTAAATTCATTAAATCTATCATCTCTATTATCATCTATCTATCTATCTATCTATCTATCTATCTATCAAATTTCAATATGTTTCGATCTAATCTATCTATCTATCTATCTATCTATCTAATTTCATCTCTTCATCTTCATCTATCTATCTCATTTTACTCTCTATATCTTTCTATCTATATATCTATCTATCAAATTTCATCTATTTCTATCTGTCACAAATACATCAATATCCGACTAATGCTAAAAATATTAAAAATTTTACCATCTATCTATCTATCTAATTTCTATCTATCTATCAAATTTCAATATATTTCTCCTTCTTCATTATCTATCTATCTATCGACTATCTATCTTCTATCTATCTATCTATATCTATCTCTATCTAATTTCATCTCTTCATCTATCTAATTTCAATCCTATCTATCTCATTTTACTCTCTACGACTATCTTTCTATCTATATATCTATCTATCTATCAAATTTCAATGGCGACAAAGTCTGTCAGGCGACAAAGATGAGTCAATAGTCGACTAATGTAAATATTAACAAATTTCCTTCTCTTCATCTATCTATCTATCTATCTATCTATCTATCTATCAAATTTCAATATGTTCGACAAATTTCACTCTCTTCATCTATCTATCTATCTATCTATCTATCTATCTATCTATCTATCTATCTAATTTCACTCTCTTCATCTATCTAATTTCAATCTATCTATCTCATTTTACTCTCTACGACTATCTTTCTATCTATATATCTATCTATCTATCTATCAAATTTCAATATGTTCGACAAATTTCACTCTGTCTGTCACAAATATGGCGACAAAGATGAGGACAATAGTCCGACTAATGTAAATATTGTAAATTTCACTCTCTTCATCTATCTATCTATCTATCTATCTATCTATCTATCAAATTTCAATATGTTCGACAAATTTCACTCTCTTCATCTATCTATCTATCTATCTATCTATCTATCTATCTATCTATCTATCTATCTATCTATCTATCTAATTTCACTCTCTTCATCTATCTAATTTCAATCTATCTATCTCATTTTACTCTCTACGACTATCTTTCTATCTATATATCTATCTATCTATCAATTTCAATATGTTCGATTTTCACTTGTCTGTTATGGCGACAAAGATGAGGACGATCCGACTAATGTAAATATTAATAATTTCACTCTTCATCTATCTATCTATCTATCTATCTATCTATATCTATCTATCTATCTAATTTCACTCTCTTCATCTATCTAATTTCAATCTATCTATCTCCATTTTCTCTACGTATCTTTCTATCTATATATCTATCTTCCATCTATCAAATTTCAATATGGAAAATTTCACTCATCTGTCACAAATATGGCGACAAAGATGAACAATAGTCGAATGTAAATATTATAAATTTCACTCTTCATCTATCTATCTATCTATCTATCTATCTATCTATCCTATCTATCTATCTATCAAATTTCAATATGTTCGACAAATTTCATCTCTTCATCTATCTATCTATCTATCTATCTATCTATCTAATTCCTCTCTTCATCTAGATTTCAGGCAATCTCATTTTACTCTCTCGACTATCTTTCTATCTATATCTATCTATTCAGTCTATTCTTGACGTTGATCCCATTAAATTGATATCAGTGAACCGCCTCGTCTGTTTGCAATGGCCTTGGGAAGGCATGAATACCTGGATCTATATCTCTCAAGAAAAGATGGAATTCTAGCCCCAATAAGCCATGGCAATGTATGGATAATAAAAAAGATGGTTATGTCTAAAAGTTCTATACCAAAATAATAGTCAAATTAAGGAAAATAAATGTATATTCCTTACATCTGGGTAAAAGACTATTCTCTACCTACCTGATGTCACCCCTACCCGATATTTTCCACTTTTATGGACTGTGTTCTCTTATGACGTTGGCGATCATGGCTCTCCGCATCTTCCTATCCTATGCAACGTTCGTCTTCTCCCCATTCCCCAGACATTGCTCTATGCGCGTAAACATGTTAGATAAGTTACTCACTTTTTCTCTCTGATTCTTTTGTTTTCTTTGATCGATTGATTCGTTTTTTACGGTATATCAACCCATTGCAGATTATTTAAAGCCAGAAAATATTTTTTATTTTCTACTTTTTTTTTGAGATAATAATGATTTAGTGATACAAGTTTTACAGTCCGATTAACATTTCCGAGCCATTATCTATTACACCACCCGCACATCCAAGCTTACAGCACCTGGTATTCCCTACTGACCAGGCTCGACGTTGCTTAACTTCGGTGATTGTATGGGAATTCCTGCATTCAGTAGGTCCAGTGAGTGTCAAATTTTCCAAACCGCCCATCCTCATTATTTTCGCCCAGAAATTTCAACGGCGTTCCCCCATCTAAAAAAAAAAAAAAAACCCCCAAAAAAACAGTAAGGTGTAGCTAAAATAAACTTTTTTTTCGTATTGTAACTAACACCATTAACATGGGTTAGTTGCTTGATTGATTTTACGACATATCAACCCTGATAAAATTAGAATTCCTGATAATGGCTTTGGATGCTTGAAAGTACACGAACAAAACTATTATGAACTTTTGGTTGTCTATAAATTTGATCCGGATGTACGCAATTTATATACAGACTGGAAAGAATGTAATGAAAAGAAAACAGACAGACCTATCAGTCGTTTGAATAAAACTTGTTTCAATGGATTCTTGTCGCCCGATCATATATATATATATATATATATATATATATATGTATTCATGAATATATATATATGTGTATTCATGAATATATATATATATATATATATATATATATATATATATATGAAAAGTGTATATATATATATATATATATATATATATATATATATATATATATATATAAAATAATTATTTATATATTATATGTGCAGTAGTTATTAGAAAGTGCTCAATATCAGAGATAAGCGCTAACATACTTATATATATATGAGATATCATGAATATATATATTTATGTATTATGAATATATATATATAGATAGATAGAGAGAGAGCATGAATATATATATATATATATATGAAAAGTGAATATAAATATAAATAAATATATATATATGTATAATTATTTATATATTATATGGTACTTATTAGAAAGTTACCAATATCAGAGATAGAGCTAACATATTTGTTGACATGTTTGTCTGACGATCCTTCAAAAGGTGAAACCCAGGTCACAAACTCATCTATCAACCAAATATATATATATATATATATATATATATATATATATATATATATATATATATAGCGAGAGAGAGATATCATGAATATATATATTCATGAATATATATAGAGATAGATAGGAAGAGATCATTAATATATATATGTATTCATGAATATATATATATATAGAGATCATGAATATATATATATATATATATATATATATATATATATATATATATATATATACAAATGAGAGAAACAGAAGTTGGATAACATTCCACTGTTCAAGCATTTACTTTTTTTTTAAAAAAAGTGCTCAATACAAAGTAGAGCAATATATTTATTATTATTATTTTTTTATTATAACAGATTTTGATAAAAACATTTTGAAATCGCTACACAAAAGCTTTCATGTTTCAATACTATGGTTGTACTTCTTCAGGCGATGGTAAGTAACTAGTGATTAAATGATTTTTATGAAAATTTAAAAACGAAGTGTTACCTCTTTTCCGAAAGTTAAAGAGGCGAGGACATAAGATCAGAATTAAAGAGAAACTTGTGGGTATGTCTTGATTAACCAATTAAATGTCAGATCTACGCTAAATAGAAAAGTTAGCTTAGAGGGTGGAGGTGCAATATAGACAGGCATCATTGACGATTGCGAAAATATTTCAGCGACAAATGTATCTTTGTTTGTGGACAAATATGAGATATTATATTGTTTAAGGGAGGGGTAGCTTAATCAGGCGTAAAGTTAACAGAAAAAAATATTTTTTGTTTTAGATTCAGAAATCATTAAAAGGGGCATGTCGATAAAATTAAAAAATGTGTACATCTATATAAGATATTAATAATACTAACTAGACGGCAACACAGTAAATTAATATATATATATATATATATATATATATATATATATATATATATATATGAATAACAAATGGAAAAGGTTTCATTAAAAAGAGATTTGATTAGCATGTTTTGCCATTCTAGGCTTCATCAGACCAAAAAGTAAAGAAAGAAATGTTTGTGTTTGTGCATATGTGTGTGTGTGTGCTTAAATAATGAATCATAGTACTTTTTTTCCCTCAGCTGTCGTTTTTCGTGATTAAAGAAGAAAGAAAATGAGTGACTTTTAATGTTATGGCTTGAGAGTAAAAGTGTTACACGGTACAGCGTTCGTAATAAACATTATTGTCGTCTGACATTACACATTACTACTAATAACAATTACTACAAATTAGTTGAAGAGAGCCCAAAATTATAAGATTATTTAAATAAGTCGATATAGCTTCTTCTTCTTCTTCTTCTTCTTCTTCTTCTTCTTCTATGTGCCGTGTCCCCTCAGGCGATCATGGTTCTCCCCGATTACCTGTCCTTTGTAGCATTTAATATTTTTTTCTTTTTGATATCTCTCCTAAACCCTGTTCCACCATCCATTTAAACAAGCTCGCTCGGTGAGTTATGCGTTGTTTTCATCTGCCTTCGGTCCGTTCTGTGAGTATCAAATTTTCCAAGCCCTCTTTCCTCATTATGTGCCCTAGAGATTTTAACTGTGTCTTCCTGATGTTAAGTATCAGTTTCTTTTTTGTTTCGATGGTCTCTAAATATTTGTCGTTGCTTCGATTCATCGTATTCTCAGCATCCTTCTGTAGAACAAGATTTCTGTTGCTTCAAGCAATCTGCATGGAGATTGTCCAGCGTTCACTTTCATATAGGAGGACTAATGTCACGTAACAATTCTGTACAATTTTTTTTTTTTTAACGAAATTTTCTTGTTTCTTAATACTCTGCTTAGCATTTGGAAGGCATCTTTCTCTATGATAACGCGCCTTCGGATTTCAGTGTCACACTTTTCGCATTCTGTTAAAACACCCCTCTGGTATTTAAATTTTTGTACTTGAGTTGCTGGGGTAAAAAAAAAGAAGCGGTTGACATGTACGTGATCTATTACAGAGTAAACCGTCGTTATTTGTCTCCCTTTCAAGCCAGTAGATATATCTGACCGTAAAGCTGTTTTGCTTTGAAAAAAAAAAGAGTAAAAAATAAACGCAAGAAAGAGATAAAATGAGGGAAAAGATTATGAAAAGAGAGGGAAATAGAGAAGGAAAAAAGAGAAAAACTGATCGTTGTACTGTTTTGACCTTAGCGCACCTGTTAGTGTCAAGTTTGCAGGTGCTTGTATAATTACGTAGTTTTTAATTGCAAGGCAAAAGAAAAAAAAAATTAAATAGTAGACCGTTGTTACAAAAAAAAACCTACTTAGAGCAATTGATTTTTTTTTCGAAAATATTCTGACATATTTCACAATGAGATTACCTAAAATAATCTGGCACAAGGCCAAACATTTTGGGCGTTTTCTGAGAAACGAATTAATTACAGTACTGACAGGGCCTTCTCAAACCTAGATTTCCATATGGATTCATGGCGTCCAAATTATTCAAAAATACCCGAACCGTTATGCGTATGCAGCCGAATTCTCA